TATATAAAATTAAATCATTAATACTTACCAAAAATTTGACGACTTGAATTAAAAAAGGCTATTAATAAATTTAATTTCGAACAAATTAACAATTTTAAAATATTAAATCAATGTATATAAATTAGATTATATTTTTTAAATTGGACATCGATATTATTTAATTACATCAAATGTATAACAACAATATAAATATAAAGTTTAAACATAAATTTTTTATTTAAAAATGATAATTTTTTTATTACATAATAACTAATAATCAATTAATTAAATTTTCTCCATAAGACCACTATTCGTCAAAACAAATATTTATCATCGCCGTTATATATATATATATATATATATATATATATATATATATATATATATATATATATATAAAATCTGGAATATGAAAATTGACTTCGAAATATATTTTTTGTTAGAAAAAATAATTTTATTGTGTCATAAGACAATCCAAAATTCTCCCTCCAACATGGTAGTCATTTTGATAAACTAAAAAAGTTGGATTATTTCCAAATAGGGATATGGATTTGGACCGAATAAACGAATCGAACCGAACCTAGAATCACACCTGAACCAAAACCGGATTAGATCCGAACTAACTATACGGTTCGGATCCCGGTTTTTATATTGTGCTTATTCGTTTATCGGGTATTTCAGTCCGATCCAACCAAATTAGTTCGGTCCAATAAAATTAGGAAATTAGGGCTTTATCTGTTCTATAAAAACCGAAATCTGCAATTGAAAAGTCTAATTTCCCCTTCTTCTGATTAATCGTTCACGCACACGAGATCATTCTTTGCCTTCTATGATCGTATCTTGAAGTTTTTGTTAGCTCTTATTTTATTTTATTTTATTTAATATTTTAAAGTGAAAGGTGTTGCAATAATACTTGGTATTTATAATGTAAAGTTAGGGCTATAAACGAACTGAACGTTCAGCGAACTGGTCATGAACCGTTCGGCAGGAAATTCGTTTATGTTCGTTTATTTCATAAATGAACGAACACGAACATAAATCCTCATTCGTTTAGTTAAACGAACGGACATGAACAATGGTCCCGTTCGTTCAATTATCTTCTTGAACGTTCGTTTATGTTGTTCGTTCATGTAAATTCATTTTATGTTCACATATGCTTAATCATGTTTGATTACATTACTATATTATATGTTCATTTATGTTCATATATGTTCAATTATGTTTTTTTTACCTTCGTTCGTTTAACTTGTTCATGAACATAAACGAACGGACATGAACAATGTAAATTGTTAAACGAACGAACATGAACAAGAAAACTTGTTCGTTTATCCGTTCGTGTTCGTTCATTTGTTCGACTAACTTAAACGAACGAACATGAACAAGCCATGTTCGTGTTCGTTCGATTCGTTACGGCCTTATGTAAAGTTGCCTTATTATCTTTAAATTTAACAACAATATTATAACCAAGGTTGTAGAACTCGTTATTCGGTACCTGTTCGGCCGACTACCGAGTAGCAAGTACCCAGGCGTACTCAGATTCGGTAATTAATGTAGAAATATTTTTAGGGAAAATTATATATGTCAAAATCATAAGTTGATTGAAATATATAACAAAATTAGATACATGTGAATACACAAAAGCTAAAAAACACATAATGGTCTCACTTCGTGAATAATTACTAAAAATTTAAGATATATATGTAATAATAATCACATGTATGTGTTAAATAATAAATCATTAAGTATATTATACATATTAATCACCGAGTTGACCGCATTTTACAACATTACTCAGTTCAATAGAGGTTAATCAGGGAGTACTCGGGATTCTGTAACTCGCCTCGGTAATGAGCCGAGTAGTGAGTACTCGGAAGAGTAATCGGCCAACTCGACGGGTTTTACAACATTGATTATAACTAATATTCTTCAAAGAAAATATACATACTAAGTTTTCTAACTTTACAACTTACAAGTCTAATGTTTCATATATCACTATTTGTCTTGGTTTAGGAATAGTACCAACCGCTTTTTTTTAATTAACTTTTTGATTTTAGAGCAAATTGTGCATATTTTTCGGTCCTTCTCGATTACTACCCGAATTGGAATCGGTCTCGTATTGATATAACTTGTCAGGTTTTCGATTCCTATTATTGTTGAAATTCGATATTCGATTCTTTTGATTTCGATTCAGTTTAGGCCTGTTCCAAACTATATAACATCCTTATTTCCACATATTTCAAAATTCCAAATGGTAATTGATGTGGATATCCTTTAAAATAACGTTAAATAAAAAATATTAACTATAGTTATTATTGAGATAATATAATTTTAATAGACTTATCTTATTCAAAATGTTGCAATGTATTAAATTTATAATCGATTTAGTCCTTATATCTTTCTTAGATCAATTAAGTCATAAATATCGATAATCGTATTCAATTTAACCTATTTACCTAGTCAACATGTCATCCAACTTTCAAAAATTATACTTTTGGCACAGATTTCAATTTTTATTACATATTTGGTCTAAAACTTACACTTTTCGCCTAGATTTTAAATTTTACTACAAAATTGGTAAAAAATTTACCCTTTTGGTCTAGGTTTCAGAATTTTATGTTGAACTCATCCTAACTTCAATTTTTTTACCACATTTTTTCACAAATTAATTTTGAATATATTTTTTCTTTATAAAATCAAAGTTATACATATATATATATATATATATATATATATATATATATATATATATATATATATTCAAATAAAAAATCTTAAATTTTCTATATAAAAACTTTTTTTATAAAACTTTATTGTATATGAAAAACCTATTTATAGAAATATGTATTTATTATATACAAATCCGTTTATATATATATATATATATATATATATATATATATATATATATATATATATATATATATAATCATCTATTTAATTATAATAACATTTTGTAAAAACATATTTATATGCCTCCTAATATGTTTTTTATACATTTCTTTTGTAAAAACATATATATATATATATATATATATATATATATATATATATATATATATATATATATATATATATATATATATATATATATAAACACCTAGTTTATAATAAACACGTTTATATATAAAACGTATACAAGCACGTATTTTATAAAAATATATTCAAACACGTTTTTATAAAAAAAAATGTATACAAACATGTTTTTATAAACAAAATATATACAAACATGTTTTTGATAAAAATCAACATTTGAGAAGTTAATTATTGACAGTTAAATTATCATTTTAAATGTATACTCTAAATAATAGTTATATAAAAATTAATACCATAAAATAATAACTCATATTCAATATTCAAAAGTAATTTTGATCACATGTAAAAAAATGTGCGTTTTCAAAATTAAAAACAAAATTTATTATCATACAACTTTTTTTCAACTCACACAGTGTTATATTTTTGTTTTAAACCCAAAATAATCTATCAAAATAGGTTAATTTCCAAATTATAAGTTATCATCTTCTAAAGCAAATTAGATTTCACTCTTAGGGGAATACATTTTCATTACCTTCGTACCAAAGTTGAGTGCCCAATAATTAATGTTACCGAATAGAAATAATATCGAAATAAATTATTCGCATCCATCGGTTGACGCAGGTAAAAGACTAGTATATATGTGTGTATGTATACACACATGTTTACTATGAAATAGATGCTTATATATATATATATATATATATATATATATATATATATATATATATATATGTGTGTGTGTGTGTGTGTTTGTATACAAATGTATTTATAATAAAATATAGGTGTTTGTATAGATTTTTTTTTATAAAATATATGTTTGTATATATATTTTTTTACAATTTTTTTTTTCTATATATTTATGTACTTAATAAATACTTATTTTATAAATAGGTATTTTTTATACAAAAGAGTTCTTAAAAAAGTTTTTATATAGAAAAAATAAGATTTTTTTATGTAAAAATATGTTTTTTTAGTATAAATTTGATTTTTTTAAAGAAAAAACATATAATTTTTTTTGAGAAAAAAGTTGTAAAAAAACTAAAGTTAGAATGCATTCATAACAAAATTCTGAAATGTTGGCCAAAATGTAAATTTTAGATCAAATTTGTAATAAATTTTAAAATATAAGCCAAAAATATAAATTTTCGATCAAATTTGTAAAAAAGAAAACTGAAATCTTGACCAAAAGTATAATTCTTAAAGTTGAATGATTTGTTGATCGGATAAAATGATTAAATTGAATAAGATTATTGGTTTTTGGGACTTAATTAAATAAAAAAAATAAGATATAATGACTAAATTGATTATGAGGTAATATGTAAGGAATTTTTTTTTTTTTACAATTTTCCCTATTTTATACAGTATAATATAATAATTATTGATTCATTGGTTATTGACAATGACATAGCTATCTACAAATGTATTTGTCTAACATTTTAATATTTTAACTACATAACTATTTCCTGCAAAACATAGAGTCATTCATTTGGTTTTAAATACTTTTAATGTGGTAAGTGGTATTAATGATCCATTCTAAAATGGGTCAAGAAATTGTGCTATTTACGTTTTTACATATAACTTTCATGAATATATAAATAATTTATATATTCAATATAATTACAAAATTATTATAGAAAGGGTTATTCTACTTATTTATTAGTAAAAATGCTTTTGTAAGCTTTAAGCAACTCCTTATTGATTTGTTTCTCTTTCAACTACATTTGTTTTACACTTTTCAATTCTTTGATGAATACAAGTTAAATACATAACATTTTGTTTGAATTTGGCTCAACTAATCAAACATTAAAATATTTTATTTAAAGACAACATTTCATTTATACATTAGTAATTTTTTTTTTTATCTATTTTGAGTCTACAATCGTACATTCTTGATGGGGTCAGGGGGAAAGCAGAGAAACCTCAAAAAGGAATTATACCATACTTGGTTAATTATATCAAGTATCCTCTGTCTAAAAACATCCACCAACAACAAGAAACCTAAATCTTTGCTTTTTAGAAGTCTTAAAAAAACTCTTAGATCCAAAATTTTTGACTATAAATTCAAATTCAAATTAAATACATTAATAAAATTAACAAATCATCTCTCAATTTTTTCTTCTTCTGTCATCCTAATGTCACTCCCCACTTTCCAGAGCTTATTGAAACTCCATAACAACCATGAAAAGCCACCATTGAAGCTACCTTCAAGATTCTTCATAACAAATTCTCAGAGACAAGATCGCCAGTTTTCGCCATTTTTTCCAGCAATTTCACAGGTGATTTTCTCTTATATTTATTGTTTTTCTTAGGGTAAATTAAAAAAAAAAAAAAATACTGTTTTTTGGGCAATTTTACAGTTTAATCACTTACATTTTAATTTTTTTTCCAACCAAACAATAAACGTTAACCATTTTGACTTATATATATATTTTTTTTCCAATCAAACTATTAAAGTTCCATACATTTCTCCAAATCATTCATTTTGAGTTTTTGACCTCATAAAATCGATAATTTGGAAAATTACGTATCAAACTTCAAACCTATTATACAAATATCATGCCATCCGAAACTTCTATGGTTTAATTGGAAAAACAATGTATCAATAATTTGTCTTAAATATAATGGTTTTCCCAATAATTTGTCACACATTACATTTTTACAAATCAACCATTTTGATCTTTATATAACACGTCAAAACTAACCAAATCTATTATAACAAATATCACATTAAATTAAAATGATTAACTTTAAAAAACCCTCGATTTTGTTAAAAAATAAATTGGTGAATATTTCAGAGTGTCGCAGCAGTGGTGTTTGGGGAAGCATCACAACAGTCAAGATTATATCCGTTGACCAAAAGAAGATCAGAAGCTGCAATTCCAATTGCAGGAAGTTATAGACTTATCGATGCAGTTATAAGCAATTGCATCAATAGCAACATAACAAAGATATACGCACTCACACAGTTTAATTCCACTTCTTTAAATTCGCATCTTTTGAGAGCTTATTCTGGTGGATTATTAGCAAATCAAGAATTTCTTGAAGTTATTGCAGCTTATCAAAGTCCCGAAGATAATGGCTGGTTTCAGGTTCTCCTTAAATCAATTTTTATCCACTAAAATCGTTTCATCGCTTTTTTTCTTTTCAATTTTAGCGATTTGGGATTATTTTATTTAGGGAACTGCAGATGCTATGAGAAGATGTTTATGGGTATTAGAAAAACATCCGGCACTTGAATTTTTGGTCCTGCCAGGTCATCATCTTTACAAAATGGATTATCAGAAGCTTCTAGAAGAACATCGAAACAATAAAGCCGATATAACAGTTGCCGTTTTGGATACCATGAAAGTAGAGAACACGGGTTTTGGTAGTTTTAAAATTGATGTTAATAATAATAATAATAATAATAGTAATAATAATAATCGAGTTATTGGGTTCACTGAGGAACAAGAATTGTTTACGCCATTACCAGTTAAGTAATATAATTTGCATATTGTTTGTTCATATTACATGATGAGTCTTGAATTTTTTTTTTTTTTTTTTTTTCAGGTTTATGGATCAAATTTTAATGTTGAAATGTTTTCGGGTATGGGGATTTATGTTATGAACAGACATGTTATGATAAAGCTCTTGAAAGAATATTTCCCTAAAGCAAATAATTTAAAGAACGAAGTAATACCAGGTGCAATATCCCTAGGGTTGAAGGTTAGTCTTTTTTGAAAATTTAAAATTCAAACAAATTAAAATTAGAAAGTTTAATCATTAATCAATAATCATTAATGTATTGATAGGTTCATGCTTATCGATTTGATGGATATTGGGAAGACATGAGAAGCATTGAAGCATATTATGACGCGAATATGGAAAGCACAAAGAAAAAAAACATGAAATATAAGTGCGTAGTATATAGTAACATACCTCTGAAATATGAAAAAAAAAATGTATAAAAGAAAAAACAAAAACTAATTACATAATTCACATGTTGGTAGCAGCTTCTATGATAGAGATTTTCCAGTGTACACTCTGCCACGTCATCTGCCTCCATCTCTAGTAACCAATGCTGCCATTACAGATAGTGTCATTGGTGATGGTTGCATTCTCAATGTATGAAACTTTCACTCAATTTTGTATTTTTGTATTTGCTTTTACATTTTTTTTCTTATTATTTATGCGATTTGTCTTTAAAAAAGTAGAGATGCAGCATCAGAAATACAGTGATTGGTCCAAGAACAAGAGTTGGAGATGGAGCTGTAATAGAAGATTCAGTAATCATGGGGTCTGATATCTATCAGGTAATTATGAATTTATGATTAACTTTATTTTATCAATCAATTAAATTACATTTTATGTTATCAATTAGTTTTTTTCTTTCTGATGTGAACAGAGCATACCTGAACAGAGAAATGGTGGAGGAGATGGAAAGCATGCGAGTATTCCAATTGGTATTGGGGAAGGATCATTCATAAAGAGAGCTATAATAGATAAGAACGCAAAGATTGGGAAAAACGTTAAGGTATTGTTAGCTAAAGGTATGATAGATACGAATACTCTGTTTTTGAAAACATTATAATGGATGATTTGTTGTTATGTAGATCATAAACAGGGATAATGTGTTAGAAGGGAACAATGAAACAGATGGATACATCATTACATCAGGCATAATTGTTGTTGTGCGAGGTGCAGTGTTTCCAGATGAAAGCATTTTATGACATCAATTAACAGAGATAATGCTTAGATGAGTTCTTTGAGGTCGTTGATGGTGATTTTGATCAAAAACTGACATAATTGCTTCACGTCTTTGAATGTTTAAAGGAGAAGTAAGAAATCAAACCTCAGATGATGCGTATGCTGCTGGAAATTAGTTGGATTTAAGGAGATTTTTGCTTAGATTCCATTGATCTCTGTAGGGATTGTAAATTAGAGAAAGCACACAAACGGATTTAATAAGTAATTCTGTAGGAATATAAGTGGTGTTCTATTTCCCATTGTATATGCATAAGGATTCATGTTACATTCATATCTTTAGTAGAAAATCATAATAAGTAATTCTGTATAACACAAAATACGAAAGTGTGTTTGGGTTTTCAAGGAAGAAGGATATTCAATGTCTAATTAGATAAATGTATAATGGTAAAACTAATCAAGTTCAGCAAATAGTTTTCAGTTCGAGTTTTGACTCGGATCGATGTAGATCTAGTTTTTTCAGAATACCTGGCGGATCGAAACGCCATCACCCCTTGAGCAAATCAAGCCCTAATTAAGAACGTGAAATGGGATTATACAAGGCCAAAAGGGAGACCGATTAAAATAATTTGATGTAAATTTTAAAGAAACAACCCAAAAAATTGTGTTTTTATAAAAAGGTTATGTAATTAAATAACTGGATAATGACTTAAAAAGGTCTATTTTTTTTTATTGGTACATATTTGGTTACTGAATTTTTTTCGTTCACATTTACCCATTCAACTTGTTAAACTGTACACATCAGTCCTTACGATCGAGTATTTTAGGTTAGCCGGTAAAAATGACTTAATAAAGTAATATATTTTTCACTTTATAAACATTTAGTCATTAATATTTTTATATACATTTAGTCCTTAATATTTTTAATTGCAAAATAAATCATTTTTGTTTTTGTATTTATTCAGTACTTATGAATGATTTCTTTAAGTTTTTCTCATTACACGACAATCATTAATGAGGCGTTCAAGACTTTTGATGCTTATGTCTATCGCGATATCGACTACTTGATTGCTTAGGTCATGTGTTATAAACGTCATAACTTTTTCATACGATCTCATATGTTAACGATCTTTATATCAATGTGTTCATATTTTAGTCTACTACAGCTTTTGTTTATATTATTCCAGTTAAAAATTAATATATTCTTTTTACTTACGATCTATATATCAATACGCTTTTTATGAATGCATGTATAGATGTTTTTTTTAATAAAATCATAAATAAAAATATTACATTTTAATGGGAGTAATCTTAACGAAAATTGTATACTCAAAAAAAGAACATGTGGATGTAAAGATCATTAAAATCTGTTATCATATGAAAAAGTTTCGACGTTCAAAACACAAAACCTAAGTCAAACCACAAGACCTACGCAACCAAACAGTTGAGATCGTGATGGACATAAGAATCAAAAACCCAAACAATACATCAATGATTGTCCCATGTAAAATGTCATGGGAAAAACCTAAAGAATCATTCATAAGTACTGAATGAGTACAAAAACAAAAATGATTGATTTTGAAACAAAGTAATATTAAGGACTAAATGTGTACAAAAATATTAAAGACTAAATGTATACAAAATGAAAAATATATTACCCTATCGTAACGCCCGTAGATCCGGGCTAATCAATTTAGAGATGATAAGCGTCAAAAATTACTTTTGATAGAAGAGTGTTTAGAATAAATAATCATAACCAAGTTTTAGTATATGTCACAAGGTTTACGTGCATATAAAGAACGGCGAAATCCGAGTTATAACGAAGAAGTTATGACCTATCGAAATTTTGCGACAGAACCGACACGACACAACGCGACGTTAATAGTGAATTTAAGTTATAGCGATATTTTGCCTTAACGATCTAACCGAAAGTCGTAGAATACGTTAAAACGAGAGCGTACATAAAAAGAACGTCTAAATCTAACTTCGTACGAGAAAGTTATGAATTTCCGAAGTTTCAGCTTAGCAATATGCAGCCCAAAGTTTACATATGAGATCGGGTGGTTTCTAGCCGAAACAATCTAAACGAGAATCGAAGATCTCGATTCTCGTCGATAGTAGTCCAACGGTAAAAAGACAGATGAAAACGGATGTCAGATGAAGAAGTTATGAATTTCTAACGATGTTTTCCTGTCCCGGCCTACTAAATATAATACAATAAAAATAAAGTCAAAATTTTCCGACGGGGTCTAAACAAGAGTTGTAGAACATAATCTCACCTACGCGTGGATATAAACAACGTAGAAAACGGATATCATATGCGAGAGTTATTATTTTATGAAGTTTGAGGCACACATCCCAAAGGGGGAATGCCCCGCGTTTAATTGGGGAACGCCCCACATTTATAGCTTGGCCCCGGATTGGCCACGTCGATGCTAACTTAACCGGATAAGAGATAAGACTGGAACCCCGCTCCTACGCGCCGCATTCGAAAGGAACGCCCAGTGTTCAGGGAACGCCCTGCGTTCCTCTGGGGAACGCCCTACGTTCGAGGGCCAAAACCCTCCTATAAATAGAAGTCGAGTCCAGCCGATTTGGTTGCTTAATTTCTTTCCTCTCACTCCATATTGCCTCGTTTTACGTTCAAGTTATACCCCCGAAGCCTCGGTATTATCCCGATACCCGAGCGAGTCTCGACGCATCGAAGATCCCGAGAAGAAAAGAGTTTTCTAGCTGAAACTCTGCCCGCGAGAAGCCCGATGTGTGAAGATATCCCGGTTTCATCGAAGAGTTACTACTTGGAGAGCCGTAGTGTTGTCCGATAATCATCTTATCAAGTGAGCGTATAGTCCCTTTCATAAACACGATTTTAATACAAGTATTGGCTGAATGTATTACATATATGTTATGTGAGAGTATGTAGTTACTTTCTTCTAACACACAAATATGAAGTATTTGCTATGAAAAACATGTTATGTGTTTATATGTTGTTGTTTATTTCAGATGAGTGTAGAATGGATGTTTTATATAGTTTTTAAATGAGCTAAACTGTATATGTATTTTATATCTACAAATACGTTGGGTAGAACATGGGTAGATGAGATAGTTGGTATGTGATAAAAGATGAGTTGGATAATGAGATAAAAGGTGATATACATCTTGAGATGAGGGTGACAGGTGAAAAACGAGTGAAACCTTTACCCAAGCGATGACCTCGTGATTCAGCAGAGTAGGGATGACAACCACAGACTATTCTAGACAGTCCAATGGAACACTAGCATGCTCGCAACTTGTAGGTGTTGTGAACTTGATGTTCACCGGTGTACGCTAAAAACCCATTGACACGTATTGCGAGAGGGGTATCAAAAACGATACTGTCAATAAACGAGATAAACTTGTTATTAGTCCGGGAGTATGGATTAAGACATAGTTCATTGTCCCTAGTCCAGGAGTGTAGATTGGGCACAATTTTAGATCCGGGTTTATGGATCAGATTAGGAGATTAGTTTTAGATCCGGGAGTATGGATCAGATTAAGAGGTTAGTTCCAGATCCATGAGTAGGTATCAGCTAAAGAGGAAAATTTTGATACGAGAGTTTAGATCGTGTCATTGTGAGGATCGATGGGGTGGGATAAGAGTTGTTTTAAATGGTGAAGTTGTATAAGTTTGTGAGTTCTAATATATATACATATATGATATAACATTGTGGGTTGAAAACCTTATATGCTCACCAGACTCACAAGCCTGACCCACTCAGTTTTCTTTGTATTACAGGTTATGGCACGAGAACATAGGTTGGCTGGCATAACGAGAGATTTTGGATTATAGAGTAGTAGTTATAAATAATTATTGTAAGGTCTATTTTGTTCTGTTTAAGCTTTTGTTCTGTATCGAACATGACATCCTGAATATTTTTAATGAAATACATTTCTACGGAAATGATTTGATAAATCTTTAATATATTTTGGGAACAAATTCCGCAACACTTTTAATAAAAGAAGTACTATGATTTTTAAAACAAAGCATAAACAAATCGGTCTTTTTTGGCCGTGAAATTGGGGATGTCACAGTTGGTATCAGAGCATTAGTTTAAGTGAACTAGGAATTTGTAGGAAATTTCAAGACTTAAACTTAGAATGCTAAGTGATGATTGTGAGATGAGTGTTTACCATATTTTAGACACGAGCACTAGTTTATTTTAGGAATGATGCCTAAAATGCTTCTATGTGCTAAATGTTATATGTTTGTCATATATGAAATTGTTTGTTCGGATCTATAGTATGTTACCGACCGGATCTGGAAACCTTATATGTTTAGGATTCTAAGCGTACGACTACGATATTAGAACTAGCATGTAAACGTTTCGGAGTGATAAGGATGATTTGAACGTCTATCGAAATAGAGATCTAAATTCACCTAATTTGGTGTATAGATCGAAATGGCAAGCATGCAAAATGGATTGGGAAACGAAACCTGTAGCATGAGCCACACGCGATTGAGAGTGCATCAGAAATAACAGTTGCACTTGAGCCAATCACGATGGCAGGAGTACAAGCAACGTTACGGACGATGTTGGATCAACATATGAAAGAGACAAAATGTTTACTTCAACAAAGTAAGGACGAACTTACTGTGCCAGTACGCCAGCCACCTACTCTTGAGATAACTATCGGGGTTGCTAAGTTAGTCTAAGAAGTGATCAACGATAGTATCGCCAACAAGGTTGAAGTTGGAAAGAAGAGGAAATTTGAAGGGTCTTCAAATTATAACAAGAGCAACATGTTCTCGAAGTCTAGAAAAATAGGAGGTAAAGAAAAATGATGCGGGAAATGCAAAAAGAAAAACTCTAGAAAAAGTGGTGAAGAGGTGACATGAAGTGTGGAAAGCATGGTCATTATGCTGACGAATGTCCATTCAACGAAAGGGTATGTCATGAATGTAATGAGGAAGGGCACTTCAAGCAGGACTCCCCAAAAAGGGAAGAAGCTACAAAGCTAAATATACCACTGAAGCATTATGAGAGATGCGACGAAGAGGTGACTTGCTACAAATGTGGAATGAAAGGTCATTACGCCAACAAGTGCACATCTGACAAGAAGGTGTGCTACGGATGTAACAAAGAAGGACATTTTTCTAGAGATTGCCCAAAGTAGAATAAACCAGCAAAGCCAAAGGCAT